ATATATTAGAGAAATGGCTAGGAAACTGGTAAAGCATACTTCCAGGTATGTTGCTAAAGATGTCTTCAAGAGAAAGTGGCACATTGGTTAGTAAACTAAGAAAGACCCATGATAAATGTGAATGTCACTCTCCAGTGGGGTCCATATGGGACAAAAAGGAGAAGAAAAATCACAAGTCAGTACACAAGCTTGATTCTTTCTTTCTTTTTCTTCTTCATCTTCATCTTCATCTTTGTCTTCTTCATCTTCTTTTTCTTCTTCTCCTCTTCCTCTGCCTCCTCCTCCTCTTCTTTCTTCTTCTTCTCCTTCTTTTTTTAATGTTTTAAAGAGTACAAAATGGGGGGCCAGGGAGATGGCTCAGTGGAATAAGCGCTTCCCTGACAAGCACAAGGGCCTGAGTTCAATCCCCGGTTCCACCAAAAAAAAAAAAAGAGTACAAAATGGTAACAAAAACATTGGAAATAATACACATTTCATTAAACAAAGTAATAGGATTCAACAATAATTGTTGTGTTGCATGTTATCTTCAAATTGTTTTGGTTACCAGATATAAACCTACAAAATTGGTTAAAAAAAAAAAAAACTATTCTTCTTGAGCACGTTTTGATGTTTATTGCCACTGCCCATGAACATCAAATTCTAGTTTTTTCAGACTTTCAATGTGAACTCACAATAGCAACTCTCTAGGAACTTTACAGAACTTCAGCCTTGGATTAAAGCTGTATCACTGTACCCTCTTGTTCTGAGGCTCCCAGCTTTTTGGACTGAGCAACTACTTGCTTTCCTGGTGCCCCAGCTGATCAATGGACACTGTGGGACTATCAAGACTCTGATTGAATAAGCCAATCTCTCTCTCTCTCTCTCTCTCTCTCTCTCTCTACATATATAGATAGATAGATAGATAGATAGATAGATAGATAGATAGATAGATAGATAGATATTTGATTACAACCACATTTAACAACTGATACCTCAATATCAACTGATACCTCAATACCTCAAATACAAATGTGGTTGATTACAACCACATTTAACAACTGATACCTCAATATATGTATAAAATACTCTTCTTTAATAAGTCTTATTAAACCTTGCTTAATATACCTATATTTTTTAAGAGTTTGGACAATTTGTCTACAAGAATCAACAATCCAATTGTGACAGATTACTCATTCATATGGAGTTATGTTAGTGATTTTGGTTAAAAAAAAATTAGCACTGTTGATGTGGATTTATCTTTGTTTCATGACACAGGAAACAACACAATTATGCATTATTTCTGGATTAAGGATTTAAAGTGCTAGTACTAATGTTTCTTGTACCCATTAGAGTATTAGCAGCCTTATGCTTAATGAAATCAAATTGTACTTACATAATATAAAGAAATAGTTTGACAATTACCACACAATAATTGTTTTGTTTTAAAAATCTAACATTTTAATAATTTATGACAGAGGAACAATGTTCACTTAGAAGATAAAATTTTCAAATCATAAATACAAAGGTCAGTCTCAGAAAAATACCCCAAAATTTAATAATCTTAATTTATGAATAAAATGTATTTCAAAGATCAAGATTCAGGATTGGTGTCTTCTACATACAATAAACAAAAGACTAAATTCTGTATTGTGAAACTTTTCAACTTCATAAAATAATTGCTTGATTACAACCACATTTAACAACTGATACCTCAATAAACCACAGTGGGAAAAATACTAAACCAGAAAGAAGGGGTCCTAAAGAACACTCACTAATCAATGAAACTGGAAACATAGCTGCTTATTTAAACAAATTTATTTATTTATTTAATTTTTTGAGACAGGGTCTTACTATGTAATTCAGACAAGTTTTGAACTATGGAACCCAGGCTGGCCTTAAATTAAGCAAATCTACCTCAGACTACTAAGTGCTACAATTTCAGGTGTGTGCCACCATGGTCAGTTGAACAATTTTATTAACTACAAGTTTATCATCTGCAAAATTTAATTACCATTAATTCCTTCAATGACTGAAACCAATCACTTAAACGAGCACGGATAGGTAGTTCATTGTACCAAAGACTAATACTGGCTGAGAAAATTAGAGATAAAAAAATATTGATCAAAAAATCATAAAATATCAGAACTGTCTTGTGTAACTCTTATAAAACGAAAGGGTTTAGGGGCCGAAAAGGCACCATAGGCGACAAGAGGTCACAAAGGAATGAAACTGGAAACATAGCCGCTTAATCTGACCTGACCAAACAAAAATCTTAGAATTACTAGATGGTCCCACATCAGCTCACCTGTATGCTAGCGCCAACGCCCAGGCCCCAGCAGCGCAGTACAGACTGTCCTGGATCTTGGCCTTCTGATCACCACCACATGTTTTAGTCGGAAAGAGTCCAGTGGTTGGACTTTGATACAGGAGCAATGTGGACTTAACTATAGCCAAACATAAGAAAAAGAATGAATCGTACAGCTAACCCTTTGCTTTGACTATCTTAAACATCTTTGATTACTTCATTTCTAAATAATTTTGTTGCTTCTAAACTTAGTTACATTACAAAATATTTAAAGATGTTTAGCAAATTCTTGTTGCTTGAGCCTAACTGGGAATCCACACACCAAGAAGAGGTCTTCTTATTTTTTAGAAAAGGACTTAATTAATTAGAACTGAAAGCCTTTAGCATATCCTAGTTAATGAGAACATGTGATACAAATATTATTAGAAAATAGCAGGCACAGAGAAAAGTAGATCAACCAAAAAAGCTGAGCACAAATTTTTTGAAATAACCAGTTCAGTGTGGAAGCTTAAAACAAATTATAACAGAGTATTTTGTATTTACTAAATTATATAGCTAATTCAATCATCAAAAATTTAAGAAGATGAGGCTACACCGTAAAATAGGCAAGAATCCTGTATTTCACTGAGAACTAAATTGTAACTGGTCTTCATAAAAGTATATTCATTTTACTTATTATACTGTATAGGTTAGGGATGTCCTTTAGCATTTCTGAAATGGAATTCCATCTCTATATAGAATGAAGATGTTAGCAAATTAATCTTTGATACACTAAAATTACATTTTGTGCAAGCTATTAGCCTCTTGTTCTGGCTAATAGCAAACATTACCACACAAGGATCACATTTTCCATGGTGGGGCTTTTGGAATCAGGGCCACTAAGCTGAATGGGCTTCAGAGGTGAGGCTTAACTGAAATAAGAGAATCACTGGGGTTGTAATCTGGAAGAGCTTTCTTATCCCCAGTGCCTTCTCCTCTTTGATTCCTGGCCACTACAAGGAGCCATACCTTTTAGCCAAGAGATGTTTGGATTTCACCACAGGCCTAAAGCTATAGAGTTGGTTGACCGTGAACTAAAAATTTTGAAACCAGTAGCCAAAATAAAGCTTTCAGAGATGGGGAGATTGCTCAGTAGAATAAGCACTTGCCTGGCAAGCGCAAGGGTCTGAGTTCAATCCCCAGTCTGTCAAAAAAAAAAAAGCTTTATTCTTTTAAGTTGTCTTTTTTTTTTTTTTTTTGGATATTTTGTGTCAACAACAGAAACCTAACATGCCTGTCTAAATAAATGGATAAATAATGCCTGTCCCAAAATACATTAAATTAATCTAAGCTAAAATTATAGTTATTAGATAGTTTTTCAGAAGTGTAAAACACTCCTTCCCAGAGATTAAGGAATTAAAATTTGTTTTTTTCTCAGTCTAAACGGATCTTATGATTAACATTTTCCCAGAATACCAGTATACGTATTACTTTTTGGCTGAGTAAAACTTAGTTTTGTCCTTAAAGTCAAAAGCAAATAATTCCTATTTCTTTTAAAATTATAATTAGCTCTTAGGTTAGTTATTGCTACAAAGAAGATAAAAAGAGTAACTTAAGCATGCCTGTAGCAGCTTGATCAAAAATAAGTTTAAAGTGCCTTCTTAGGCAGGCACAGGGATCAAGGTTTAATACCTGGCACACCATGCCGGCCCCACCACTGGGGCATGCTGAGACAGCTATTGAGAGTGAGTGTGGTGGTGCGCGCCTGTAATCCCAGCACTTGGGAGGCTTAAAACAGGGGAATCACTATGAGTCTGATCTGTGTAGTGAGACCCTGTAGACCCTGTACTAAAATTAAAAAAAAAAAAAAAAGTTAAAATAAAGTTTCCAGTGAGGTCTAAATAGACAAAAGTAATCCACATTTTTGAAGAAGACAAAAAATGTTTTTGCTGTAATAGGACATTAATTGCCGATTGTCATTTGCCATAATAGGACAAAAAACAGTACAAGAAACAACCTGAAAAAAATTAACAGACATTCCAAAGTATGGTCTGAAGAATAAGGAAGCATTCCATACATATATATCTAAAAGTTATTTATTCACATTGAAAAAAAGTTTGTGTAGGTTGATCCAGAAAAACAAACAAAAATTAAGACCTGTTATTAAAAATATTAACCTGCTATTATCATTTCTATCTCAGTGAATTACAAATTGATATAATAGTTCAGGATTAACTGATAATTATGTATAGCCAGATGAGCAAGTTGATACTTGAAATATATATGTATTCTTCAAGAAATATCCTCAAGTTTTCAGACCTAGTAAAATTCTGGTGATAGCTGTAAAGTTACTCAAGAGCCCAATATAATCTGCTGTATTCATTTTGTAGTCCTGGTATATATGTATAACTGGACTTCATAGCAACCTAAGCATTGAAACTAACCCAAATCCAAACAATAGTATAGCATCATATAATGTACACAATATAGCCAGGGCATAGTGAATACTAATTATAGCTAACATGTTTTCATCAAGTTTTGCTTACCAATTCTGTAATAATGATCCAATTTATCCCACAGAGTTTCATTATCAGGTTTTGGAAGATGAATGCTTTTAAGAGGTTCATAAACTGAACCTAAAAGAAAAATGAAAATCCAACAAATTCAGTTATTTTCACCCAGATAAACAAAGAAGAGTTCTGAACAAAAGAACTACATAACAATATAATTTTCATTTTTATATGCAAAGTACCATCTGAAATATGGTACACTGTTGGTACACTTCTGTTAAGGGAAGGAGAAAGAGGAATGAATCCTTAACAATAGGCACAGACGAGTGTTCACTTTCATAGGATATCCCCACCCTGAAAATCCAGCATTTGATCCAATTATCTGATGTGCACATTAGTCCTAACAACTCAAATATATGTAATACTCATGTGATAGCCTAAGTTTAATAATTTCTCACTACTGAGAAATCTATCTCTCTCTCTTTAAATCCAAACTTTATGTCCCTACACTGATGTTTCTCAGGGCAACTTTCAAACCAATGATCATGCCCCAAAAACCTCCGGAAAAAAAGAAAAGCTCATGTTTTAAAGTCATGCACTCCACAAATACCATACTAGGTTTTACACTGAAATTCTTAAGTCTTTACTTTCTCCTAGGTAGGTAACACTCTTCCATTGTTATCTGGACTATAAGCAGAGATCATTTCTACTTCTCAGCCACAAAAATTCCCTATGGCATAAGGAGAGTGTGGTCTTCAAAAACTACAGAATACACAACAATCATGATAATTTGCCACAAAATGGATAGAGAAAATTGTTCTCTTTACTAGTGCACTTTTACAACTACTGAATGAAAGAAAGGCACCTGAACCTTCAACCATCAAACTAAATACTTTCTCTCATTCTTGTTAAAAGCACTCAGAAATCATCAACATTGCAAGGTCACAACTAATCTACCTTTGGATTCAGGTAATGCATGCCAGATAGTCTGACAATATAATATAAAAGTAAACCTATAATTTGCCCTGAGGAGAGGGAAAGATGGTGTTGGCACATATTCAGAGTCTGATTTTGAAAAAAAAATTGAAGCATATAGGTTTATAAAGTAGTTATGTCTAGTATACTAATTTAAAGCCAGGTTATTGGGAATACCCTGAAGTTTCAGTAGACAACAGACATTAGAAGAAAATAAGAATCTGTACAAAGCAATAATCCCAGTATCTTCTATTAGAACAAGAGGTAATTAGTAGATTACATACTTAGGGGGGAAAAGAGAATTAGGAAATAACCTCCTTTGAGTGAAGATATTTTCTAAAATAAAAGTCTTCCTTTGGCTCCAAATGGAATGGCTCTGTAGTAAAGAATGGACAGATTTATCAACATAGGAGATGATGAAGGATCCTTACCTCCTCCTACATATACATTAAGGGACCAACTATGTCCTCTACCTTCCTGCATTCAGTTAGCTCCAGGCAGATATAAGTATGGAAGTAGCCTGGAAATCATGAAGGAACAACAGGTTCACTGATAGGAAGAGAAAAACCTCTGGGAGACTGCACACCTGCAGTGAAGATCATACATTAAGAAAGAAGTATCACATACAAATAGTCACAAATTATAAATTGCATGTGTGTGTGTGTGCATGTGTGTGCACACATGTGTGTGTAAAGATCATAAAGGATAACTTGTTGATGGAGAAGAATTGTAAAAAAAATAATAATAATGCTTTTTTTTTTTTCTTACATCCAAATTAGCAGAGCTAGTACTTGGCTATATATATGAAAAAAATCATCAAAATTTTAATATATAGTTCAATTAATCAGGGAAATAATTCCTATAAGGATAAATACAGGAATGAATGCCCAAGAGCATCTACTTTCATGCCTAAGACAAATATAAACTATTATGTATCATACACATATATTAATTAACAAAAAACAAAACAATTTTGGAAGAAAAATATGTAGAAGTAAAAAATGACATTATAATGGTGAGCTAATTGCAAAAGATAGTTTTGATATTTTATCATGGTTCTAGACTAAAAAAATTTATTTTTTAAAAATGCTTCTATATTTAAAACAAAATATACTAAAATTATTGTGCCATCTAATTTTGTCACCCAAAATATCACCAATGAAGTTTTTATTTTTTTACAGGCAAAAACATAAAAATCAGACTTCTCAAGAAAATACCAAAATATCTAGGGGCATGGCTCAAAGGTAGCAAATCTGTAAAGGATACATACCACATATAA